AAAAAAAAAAAAAAAAAAAAAAAGGGAATTGGGAAATGTTTTGGACAGAATGCCGGGCAAAAGTTTCAAATCAGACTAATTTCTTTATGCTGTGAGGGGATTTAATAAAGTGTGGACTTTATTAGGCCATTTGACCATCTTCTCATTGAACGTGTTTGTCTTCTTTATAGCCACTCCTTTAGCTTTTATGTTAAGATCATATTAAATGGGATTTCTACTAACAAGCAGACATGTTGCACCCATTTATTGAACTCTTTACATTAAGATTTCCCCCAGCCCCAAAAAAGAAAACACACACAAAAAAAATTCTCACTGTTGTTGCTGAGAATAGTTTCAAACTGTTTTCCACATTAGGAAAAAAAGCAAAACAACCTGAAAAATGTTCCACGTTGCCTGAATTTCAAACATTTAAAACGGTTTTCTATTAAAACTAAATTATTTTGTTCCATTAATTGTTAATGATACAGTTAATGAGCAGTTAATCTGTTAATGATTAACAGATTCCCTGTTTAGCTTTTTTGCTACACGAATTGACAAAATTAGGATTAAATGAGTTTTGCCATGTGCAAGGCAATGCTAAAAGGTCTAATTTAAAACTGGTTCATTGGTTAACACAGTGACTCCAAAAGATTTTCTGACTCCCCTTATGAATTACCATAAACCTCCCACCCCCTAAAGAGAAAAAAAATAATAACTGGGCACACACATTGTTCAACCAGACATAATCCTATACACATATTTTGTTTTCAAACTCCACTGAAGTTTATTTCACACTTCAGGTTGCAACAAAACACACTATGAACTACTTTTACAGTGAAAAAACTTTTGTGTAACTGTTTTTATTTTTATTTTTTTCATTCATCCATACTGCTTCCCGTGCTGCTTCAACGGCACTGTGCCACCACACTTTGGGAACCACTTCCAGACAAAACATGTCGGCAACAATCCAGTCAAATTTACCGTAATTCTGCCCCACTTTGCGCTATCTCCCGTATAGCATCGAGTGAAATTATTCTGAGTGGCGCTCTTTTAATAGACAGTAAATTGCAAAAATAACTTGCTAGATATTGAAAATTCCAGCTATTATGGATAAATGGGCAAATATATTTACTCACAGGACTTTTAAAGAACCATGTACAATTAAAATAAGTAAAAATATCCAGGGATTGGAGTAAGAACATTTAATAAATGAATAAACAAAGGACAGATCATTATTGGGATAATAAAAATATGTTGAAAATCTACAATATTCTTTAGGACGACTCACCTGAAATTCTTCACATGATCCTCCACTCCGGTCAGAGAGACGGAGGAAGACAGAGCCATGTTGTATGTGCTGGCCTGCATTGACGAACCCCAGTTTAACTCTGTGGAAAGAGAAGCAGTGGTTTAGCAAAAGCAAACGCAGCAGAAAGTTTTCTGCTTGTTTTCAGTTCAACATCTCTCAGCTGAACTGAGCTCAGGCTCAACGAGCTGCACCCACTTGGTTTGTTGTAGTTGACGTATCCTAAGAGGAAGATGATGATGGACAAGGTGACCAGAGCGGCCCACCAGGTGAAAAGGAACATCAGCACCACAGATATGATCGCTCCAAACAGAGCCGCCCATTTGCTGTAGTAGTGGAAGGACGGCCTCCAGCCTGAAAGAGTCGACAAATAAGACGTGTTTTCCCACTTTATCTACCTTAAATGTGGGGCTAAAAGTTTGTCTAAAATGACCAGATGTACTTTTTGATATTCCTCTCTAAGAAGGGTTGTTGGTCATGTTTGTCCAATCTGCTATGTGAACGGAGATGCTAAACCAGCTGACTCATACAGAGGCAGAACTTTAGAGAGTTACCTGCAGAGTTGGGTAGTATAACTAGTTACTTTTAGTTACTTGAGTAACTTTAAAAAAAATACTTTTAGGAGTATTTTTACTATACTGACTTTTACTTTACTTATTTTATTATGAAGTATTTAAACTCTTACTTGAGTAAAATTTCTGGATTTTCTACCCACTGAATGGAAAACAGAGATTTTTTTAACCATAAATTCACCAGACACAGACCTGCAGTTTTTGTTAAAGTTTCGTAAGTTTACAAAGAAACTGATTTGGAACAAATTTCTTTTGCCTGACTTTATTTTTTGTTACTTACCGTATTTTCCGGACTACAAGCCGCTACTTTTTTCCTAAGCTTTGAATCATGTGGCTTATAGCCCAGTGCGTGGATTTTTCTTCAACCACCAGGGGACTCTTTAGCAGGAAGTGAATCATTCAAAGTCAAAATTGTAAATCAAAGAAGAACGTGCTAATTTTCATTTAACAAGCTCATGCTAGCAGCAGGCACAACAGAGAAATGTTTTCAAACTCATATGATGCAGCTTTTAAGTTGAAGGCTGTCGATCTGGCACTACAGGAGGGAAATAGAGCCGCTGCACGTAAGCTTAGCGTGAACAACACCATGATTTGGCTTTGGAGACGGAGGGCTGCATCCTTAATATATCCAGCAGATTTATTAGGACACAGCCCTCTGCTGGGTCCTTATGGAAAACCGAGAGCAACAGAGATACCAGCGGTTTATATACAGTATGTACGTTTCCAGATTTTTTTATTTTTTTTTAAAGGTGCAGCTTTGGTATGGTGCGCTCTATAGTCCGGGAAATACGGTATATGAATTCTTGTTATTTTTGTCTTTAAGATACCAACATTTCCACTTAACTTTATATTTTGGTCGATCTGATTGTCATTTTTTAAGTTACTGAGTAGACTTTTTGACAAATACTTTTTTACTCTTACGCAATTTCTTAGACAGCTACTTTTTACATTTATTTGAATTATGTTGGAGTAATGCTACTCTTACTTGAGTACATTTTAGTGGGTACTCCACCCACCTCTGGTAATCTGTAGCAAAACTCATTAGGCATTAATGAGGCTAAGGTATTTTTACTTAGCAAAGATAGTATAATCTCTGGGGAACTAAAGTTTTTAGACTTACAGAATGGTTTTAATTCTGTTTTGCTTGTCTAAACATGTTTTAAATTTGCAAACTTTTGTTTCTGCTTTTGACTATTCAAATTTACAAATCTCTGTCAGAGCAAGTAAAATGTTCCAGACTCTTTGTACAGGAGTGGCCCAGGATTCAGTGTGAAACCTATTTTGCGTGTGCTTGTGGGGAAAATAAACACAAAAAAAGTAAATAAATACATAATAAACAAATCTCCCTTCGTCATGAGAAAATATTAATGTGTTCACTTAGGTTAGCTTTACTAGAACAAAGTAGAAGGCCTCTTCACCTCTTAGAAGGTGATTTGTTTTATCTCTGTTCCAAATTTAAAGTTATTTTCTCTTTTCCAGAAAGTAATTCCCACATCCAAAATCCATATTTCTAATTTCGCAAACTATTTTCAGTCAAAAACACCTCTAACAACGAAGTAAAATAGACTTTCTAAATCTAGACACTAACTTAAACATTCCTCCTTTCTGAAAGAAATACAATTGTAATCTGTATTATATGCATAAAGTCTTATTTTCATGAGTATTTATTTTGTCCTAAATAACCTTGATTGTATACAATTTGCTCTTAAAATAAACCCCATTATGGGTCTCTGTTATTTACACTATGTCATTAGCAACAGCAATTATTTAATGACAAATTTTAGACTATATTAACTGCAAATACATTAATTAAAATAAAAAAGGTAAGCGACTTACCAGGGGAATTGGTGATGGATGCATGAAAACAACTGAAGTTAATCAGGGCATAGGAGCAAAGGAAGAAATTAGAAATGAGGGGAGCGATGGCGTTAAGGTCCGCTGTAGTGGGCAGCAAAAAGACAAAATGTAAACTTACACTGTTAACCTGTGTAAAATATGAATAATCATTTGTAAAAAAAAAAAAAAATCAAATCTCACACACCAATAAGGATGACGGCTGTTGCAATTAAGTAGCAGAGAATATAAGCTCGACGTGGCTCGTTGTTTTTCCCATAACCTTTCGCAAAGAAAATGATGTAAGGGTATATTTGGTCATTGCACAGACACTGAAAAAAAGACAGGAAAGTTGTTTTTTATTCAATGTTGACACGCAATTTAGTGGTATAAAACAGAATACTTTAGGTGAACGTTGTTTCACCTGAAAGATTTTGGGAGCAGAGACAAGAAAACCCAGGGCAGAAGATAAAGTGGCAGCAAAGATTCCCACAATGATGATGTAGTAAAAACCGGAGAGTTGTCCAAGAACCTGGTTAGAATATTTGAGTAAAGTCAACAGGAGATCATTTTATACAGCCATGCTTAAAGACTGTAAACGACACTTAAGTGAAACTGAACTATTTATCCACGACAATGAGTTTGATAGATACATTGAAGTTGTTGGCGAGTCCATATCGACAGGTCTGCGACTGGCTACAGTCTGTGAAGTTCCAACCCAAGTTACACGCCAGTCCCACGCAACCGTCCGTGTTGTTTCCCGTCAGGATGTGACTTTTATTCCCAGAGGCGTCCCGCACCACACATGACCCTGGAAAAAAAAAATAATCCAAGTCTGAGCTGAGCTTTCTGGTATTTCTTACCACATTTTTTTGGAAAACTACAGTTTCTTTACTGCATGGACACTAAACAGGAAGATTACCTCTTGCATTTTCATTTTGTTTAACAATTTTAATGTCAGTATTGGCAAACACTAACTTCAGCAAGCTCAAAGTTATATTGAGTCAATCAATAATTAGACAAGATGAAGGTAGTAATGTTATAAAAGTTACCTACCTGTAGTTACTGCTATCACCAGGTAGCTGAGTGTTGTCCAAAAAATAGCCATCAATGTACCCTTTGGGATAGCTGTTGCAGGGTCCTGCGAACAGAAAGCTGATCATCACCTTGCTCCTTGTTGCTCAATGTTTTTCTTTCAGCCTTGTTGAGATTCAAACCTTTAGATCTCCACAGATGTTGACCCCGGACATAATTCCAGTAGCAGCAGGAAAGAAAATGGCGAACATCCGGAAAAAATCGTTTTGAGCGCCCCGCCAGTCTGGTGTGAGGTTCTGGACAAAAATATCACCTGTAGAGAGCATTGACATCGAGTCAGGAGTTGTGTTTCCAATTATGCCATCGAATAAAGTGTTTGGTGGGAAAGAGAAGAATTCTTTACCTCGGTATCCGAAGATGCCGATAGCCTGCTTGTCAACTGTTGGAGGGATTACGGTGCCAACAAGGTAGTTTGCAAAGGACACCATAAGCGCTAAGAAGAACAAAATCTGGGTCTGAAAACAACATAAAGCAAGTTATTTAAAAACAATGATTAAGTCAAAGAACATTTCATGAACTAAGCAAAACGGTGTTGCTGTGTCACACAAAATTTCCCACGGATAGGCTCACCTTGGACTCCCACTCCATTCCAGCCTGAGTAATCATAAGAAGAACCGTGACTGTGATTACGCCTATAATGCGAACGTCATTGATTGGATCCACCATGACGGCACCAAATTCCTAAAATGAGTTACATAATTCTCAAAAAAGCTATGCAACACATTGGGGTTTTATATGAAAGGCATAATACGATGAAAACATTTATGGAAATACTTACCTGTATCTGTGTTTAAATCATTTTCCAAAATATATGCATGAAAACCTTCACATTCTTTTGCCATACACTAAAATCACCTTAAAACAGTGGTTTCCAAACATTTTCTTCCCCAACATGTTAACAATGGATTAAACAGTTTTAACTGCTGATAAAAGTGACAGAGGACACAAATATGGGAAGTGTGGAAGCCTCTACTGTATCAAATTGACATAGGAATAACAGAGAGTTGGCCATTCTAAGGTATAAACCCAGCACATACAGTGTTCATGTTTTTTTTGTTTGTTTTTTTTTTCATCCAGGCGGCTTCCCGCGCCCCCACTGCAATGACACGGCGTCCCCCTAGGGGGCGCGCCCCACAGTTTGGGAACCTCTGCCTTAAAACATACTCACTGAACTTATAAATATGATTTTTTTTCTCTCTCTGAATAAAACAAGTATTGACACAAGATGAAACAGATCCACATACATGCATCAAATCACGAACCACCAATGAACAACCAACAGTGTGGAGCGCACAGGCCATCGCGTTTGCTAAGGCAAACACCAGTCCAATTGGTCCTCCGATTTCAGGACCCAGCGTGCGGGAGATCATGAAATATGCTCCGCCTGCAAAATGTTTCACACACACACACACACACACACACACACACACACAAAAGACAATTTTTATGAAAACTAACAAAAGAATACTCAAATAATAAAGTAGTTTATAGCTATAAGATTTGCGTTGCCTCTCAAAATTGTTCCTATCCTTTTGACTTAGTTTTTTTGTTTATGTTTACACTTTGCCATGTCAGTCTCTAATTTGTGTTTTATTTCGATTTTGTGTGATTGAAACACACAAAATAGTGTAGATCTGTGAACTGGAAAGAAAGTTAAAGATTAGATTTTTTTTCTGGTAACAAAAATCTGTCTTTAGGAGAATTGTAAAGTAAAAGAACCCGTTGTTTTTTATCAGGATGTCTAGTTCGACAAATGGAACTGCTTGCAGATTTGTAAATGCACCTCCTGCATTATGTCTAAATCCCACAACAAATGTGAGCCAAACTTTGTTGATATTCCACTAATGTTGAATGTTTCTACTAAATAAGAAATACAGTTAAAATCACGTGAATAGGTTTGGTCACGCAATAAGTCGTTAAACGACACACACTTCAACCCAGGGCAAAAAATTTCTTCATGTAAAAAGTGTTTTTTTTGTTTTGTTTGTTTTGTTTTTTAAATTAGTGTTTGCATTGGGAAATTTATTTTCGGAATTTGCTCAAATTTCAAGTCAATGGAAAGGCAGCCATTGCCAATTTATATGAACGTGTACAAGAAAGTGAGTACTTTTGTTAATTAGCAGTAAAAGCAGGTTGTCAGAATAAGAGTAAGGCTCTTTGCAAGGCAATTCTCAAGAATTTTATGTCTTCCATTGCTTACGTTGTTGTATAACAAATTTGATTAATAAAAGTGTTTTTGTTTACTCTATTTACACAGATATATTTTGTGCATCATTCCATTGTTCCCATCATGTTTCTCTGCTGAGTACAAAAATTTCAAGCGTCCACTAAATTCAGTACGGTGATGTATAATTTGTTTGTACTGATGACCCAAGCTACGTATTTCCCATAGTGTGCATCATTTTTAATTTACAATAATGCAAATTAATGTTTACATTTCATTTCTTTACACATGGACTCACCTGATCTGACCCTCCCATTGGTGGCAATAGCAGAGATGGACAGTGCAGTCACAGAGGTCACCACCACGGACATCAGGATAATTACACAAGTCAGCACTGTCATCAGAGGAATATATATATTTATTAGTCATAATTATAGCTCATTCCTGTATTTTATTTCCTTCTTGAACTTGTTCAGAAAATAACTTAGCAAATCTGTTGCTGTTTTGTTATTTTTCTTTTTCCTTCCTTTCCTTTCCAAGATGTATATGCCAAATCAAGTATCCATGTCATATATGGATATATTATTACACATATTATATTATATATTACGTATTAAACATAATTCATTCACAGTTTTAAAAAATGTGTAACACCATTTTACCACATTGTGTTTGGGTTTTCTGCCCTACATTTCCTTGTGCGTGCAAGGACAGAGGCAAACATAGAGGACTGTGGCAAATGATACAAGTTTTACGGGAGTGGGGTCGGTTGGACCCCATTTGTAAACACAAGGGTTAAGTCTTACATTTTTAAATAGAACATCAAAGATTTTGTAGAAATTTCCAGATTTATTTACCTGTGATAACATGGAGAGTTCCAGTAATATCAATGGTAAAATGAATTACACAATAAAACAAACCGGTAACACTTTATTTGAAGGGGTGTGCATAAGACTGACATGACAGTGTCATAAACATGACATAACACCTGTCATGAACGTCAAGAAGTCTTTATGACTGTTTGACAGTTGTCATGAAGTGTTGTTCGGTAAATGATGACACTTTTAATGCAAAGTTGGCACTTTTAATGGACTTTCAACGCAACTTTTAGAGCAACTTTGCATTAAAAGTGTCATTATTTACCGAACACTTCATGACAACAGTCATAAACATTCATAAAGACTTATTTATACTCATGACAGACATTATGTCATGTTTATGACAGTGTCATGTCAGTCTTATGCACACCCCTTCAAATAAAGTGTTAACAAAAAATCTAGATATTCTCAAGATAAGGAAGAAATTCAGTGCGTTGTGTGCTAGAAAATCAAATAAACTGAGTTCAAAAAACCCGGAAGCGATGACTCACCAATGCCTGCCTGAGACGTGATCCATGACAGACGCAGGAACATGATAACGCCCCAGATATTCAGCATGCAGCGCATCTGTTACCAAAGACCAATGAAAACAGCCGGGGGATATTTCCATAGTGACCAGGTGATTGTGCTGATAATTTAGCTGCCAATTCAGAAATGTGACTTTTTTTTTTCATGAGTGTAGCATGTTTAACATTTCCGTTACCCGCATTAAATTTAGTATTAAGAAACAAAATCTCACCTTGACACCGATTATCCAGCCAAATCTAACTGGAGCTTTCCCTTTAGGATCTTCGGACTCTTCGTTTTCCATATCTGGTGCCGGCAGGCTGCCTGAGTCAGAGGTGGACGTTCCGTCCATTCCGATCTCCACAACCTTTAATGCAAAGGAAAGAATCAATGAAACTGAACCATCTGACGGGCTTAAACTATTAAATAATTTGTTTAAAGGGGCGATATTAGGTGTTTTCCAGGTACATCCAGTTATTTTAGAGCACAAAATGTTACCTTCAGTTGTTATGAAAGTATTATGTGTATCAAATGTGACTTAAAAGAAATTTAACACCTTAAAATTTGGCCTCTGTCTCTTTAAGAAAGTTCTTCTCTTCCCAACAATCTGCCTTCAGAAAGTCATCAGAACATGACTCCTCTATTAAACATTTAACAGCATTTTTACCAGCGTTGCACTGAGTAGTAGCTCCTATAATGAGTTTACCAGATGCTAGTTCCATCAAGTGTTTGCTAATTGCCTCTGGCTAGTCTGAAGGAGCTGAATGGGGGAGTCACATAGAGGGCTGCTTTGTCAGGTGGAAGCTTGGAAACTTGATCTCCAAAGAGGAGCTGCACCTCAAAGGCGGAACTAGGTTCAGATGACATTTTGGATATCTGAATGGTTCCCTTGAGAGATTCAAGGATTTCTTAAAAATGCATGAAAAATTCAAGGCAACACTCAAAGTATGATTTTGATTATAACATGATGTAAAGCTTAAAAAAGTAAATTTTACATAATACTACAGCAGTCTGAATAATACTTTTTTAACACTTATTTATCACATTTCATTTAAAGGGGCTAAATTTCATCAGTTGCAATCCTTATGTTTTCCCATATGCTGCCACTGATGTAAAGAAATTGAGCATACATAGCAGATCAATGCATTAATAAAATGGAAAAATTTGTCAAATAGCACAAACTGAAGGACAAACGTACCTCAAATGTCTTGCGCAGGGTTTCAAGTGTCGGCCTGCTCTTTGTCATCTGGCGTGGCAAAGTATTGGCGTAATGCTCCAGCTGGGGCACCAGGTCCATGGTGCTGTAGACGGAGGACCTGCGCAGCTCTGCCCTGGAGCCACGACGCTCTGATGAGCTGCATAACAAGACGCAGAAGCATGTCTGAAAACTATGGCTTTTGTTTGATACCTTCCAGCTCCATTTTGCTGCTTGTTGTAAGCACAGGGTGAGTAAAGAGCAAATCTTCTAGGATGCGTGACTGATGGGAGCAGCGCAGGGCAAGGCTAAATATGCATTAGTTTTGTAAAGCTCTGAGTTTGTTACAGTCTGTTAAATATCCACAACTTTCTCTTTTCAACACAGTAAACTACCTGCTCCTCTAAAACAGAAGATCAACACAGCCTTATATTGGGCATTCTCATTTAGCTTCCTCTGTACAGTTATTAAAATTACACTATCAAATGACTCAAATGATTGCATGACCATCAAGTACTGCACAAGCCTGTTAATCACCCACAGATTCGATCCAGGTGTGTGGCACAAGGGAAATGCCTAAAACATGCAGGGCAGGGGGGGACGTGAGGACCGGGATTGAGAAACACTACATTAAACCATTATTTTCTTCATGTCATGCCTTCCTGAGTCTTTCCTCACCACCACAACCACAAATCATGACAGAAGGACCCGACCAGATCAAGGTGAGGAACGCAGGAAAAAAAAGACCCAGCCAAAAGACGGAGTTTTTTGGAGGAGCTTCTCCCAGTCCGAGGCTGCTGAGGGGATCGTGGCTAGCGATCTGCCCGCCCGGAGTTGGACCCTGCCGTTACTGCTCCCCTGAGCCGCCAGAGATCCCGCCCCCTGAGCATCTGCTGCTTCCCTGCCTCCCTGTGCTCCTCCGGAGTCTCCGCCCCCTGCCGGCGCTCCCGAGCCTGGGGTTGGGCCCAAAAGGTCTCGTCGCCGCCCCCCGTGGCTCCAGCTACGGCCACGCCCTCCGGACCCGCCTCTAAGTGTCCGCCTGTTGCGCCGTGGATGCCCTTGGATTATCCACGGCAGGCCCTGCTTTGGCTGTGCTGCTTTTCTTTTTTGTTTGGACTGAGTTTCTTCCGTGTTGTTCCCTGTGGTCTCTTGCTCTCTGTCCGTCGCCCCTCCACCCACCCTGATGAGATGTTTTTTTGTTGACTTTTAGTTGTTTGGGCATCTGGTAGCTGCCCTTGGGGATGCGGGGGGTAACTGTTGTGATCTGTGTTTTCTGTGTATTTAGTTTGAGGTTTTTCTGTGCTTATTTAGTTCTGTTCCCCTGTCAGTCTCTGTGCCGTCCTGTCCTGATTGTTCCCAGGTGTTTATCGTTCCCTGACTGTGTATTTAAACCCATCTGTTGTCTTTGTCTCTTGTCGGGTCCTTGTCGTGCTACATCGTGTGTGTCTTCTAACACCGTCTGTTCCTTGTGCTCCTGAATCAGCTACTTGGATTTATCATTAAACCATTATTTTCTTCATGTCTACCTGGGCCTTCCTGCGTCTTTACTCACCACCACAACCACAAATCATGACAATTGGAAGTAAAACACAGCAGGGTGGGAGGACAGGCAATTTATCATCCATTCTTAACCCGATTCAAAAGCAAAAGTGCACTTCCTATTGACAAAACAAGCCTGTCCAAAATGTGAAAACGGACTCTTAATGACGGAACCAACCTGGACTCCTCATCGGAGACGACAATGGTGGGAGGGATTCGAAGTCCATTGCCTCCATTCATGGTGCTGCTGTCAAAGTGGTGTGAGGAGTACCTGGGAGGCCCCTCCTCATTGGTGGAAGAGTGCACCCCCCTGGCAGTTACGTTACGTTTGGAGGTAAACTGCCCCATCAGCGCGTCTTTGTGATTCCTGTGCAACGATAATCATTAGACTAGAATACACTAAATTAACAAATTCACTTTTTTTTTATCAGCATGCTGGACTTTCTGACCAAAATTATAATGAGAGACATGAGTAAAAAAAAACCTTAAAGGTAACACTGCAAATTTTGCTAATTTTCTAAGAATGTGAATATAACTTTGTAATGCCAAAAAATAAACGATATGTAACAGATATTGATATTTTCTTTAGTTTTGAATCTTTTTGACATCATCTATGAAGAGTCCATATTGCACATAGTGTAATTTTCATTTTCTGACTTACTGTACTGTACATTGTCTACGCACACAAAATAAGTGAAATTTGTATATGCTTTATGATATATTATTTTGGTGTGAACTCCCCTAGCAACGTGATGTTTTACTCGCATCATACTTGGTAATAATATGACAAATTCTGGCAAATACAAATTTAAGACATTATGAAATCTGAAGTCTCTCCCAAATGAGAAGCAAAGAACACATATTAATCCATGTTCCAATTTTTGACTCTGAAAAGGAGTTATTTGGTCTAATGTCAAATAAAAAGTTGAAAGAAAGAAAAAAAAAGACAGAAACAAGAAAGAAAGAAAAAGGAAAGAAAGAAAGAAAGAAAGAAAGAAAGAAAGAAAGAAAGAAAGAAAGAAAGAAAGAAAGCAAGACCTTATACTCACAAGTGGTTCTGTAGCTGATGAAACAGCTGCTTGATCTGTCCCCAGATCAAACATACACCTTTTATCAACGCACTGCAAAATTCTTGCAATTTATACCTTGGTGAGGCATGTTAAATCCCTCCCATTTACTGCATGCATTTCCTCCCCCTCAGACAGAGACACACACACACACATACAAAATCATACTCATTCTGTCTTCAATAAACACGCAGACGGACTCTGCGGAAAGGTATGTGCGTACAGTCACACATATGCAAATCTGATTCTACAATGGCTTTATAGATGTGACATCTAGTTTCTGGAAGTTGGTTTTTGGAAATGTGAGTTCTAGACACAAAACAATGGAAGCATGAGCCACTGATTTGGTAGCCGCATAGTTATTAGAGTAAACAGGGAGAACAAGCGGGTACCAAGTTGCCATGGCAGCTTTGAAAGATTAATACGACTTGCTTATGTTGCTACCCAACATGAAATCAATTGACTTTTTTTCCCCAAAAATTTGTTTTATCTGCAATTTTGCATTTACCTGAGCTGTGTTACAATGTACAAATGCCACAAAAAACAGAGCTGCACAACATAATCCCAAATTTAGATCTATTTTTTTTTCCATTTCAGATGGAGATGTTCTTTATTTTTAATTTTGAAAACCAGTTTGAAATTCAAACTTGTTGAAACTTTTTTACATATAAGGCAGGGGTGTCCAAAGTCGGTCCTTGAGGGCCGGCATTGTGCATGTGTGAGGATTTGAGTTTCTCTGTGTGTTTATTTTAGGTTTCTGTGTCTATTGAGTCTCCATATTGTCCTGATTCTTCTTGATTCTTCCCAGGTGTGTCTCGTTACTTGATTACCTTCTGTGTATTTAATCCCAAATGTGTTTCTTGTTCCTCGTTGGTTCCTTGTTATATCTGTCTCAGGATTTCACCCAGTGTATTATAGGCCTGGCGACCCACCATGCTTTACTAGCCCCACTGCCAGGCTAAGCCTTTCTTTTTAATGGTTTAAGGGAAATAATAATAATAAAGTTTTTTTTTTTAAAATATGGAGCGTCTCTGTTGCTCTGAGCGGTTCACTGGCGGAGCAGATTTCTTCCTAAAAGATATGCATATAGTTTATAGAAGATAGGTTTATAGTTGATGCATTTAAAGCCGGACCAATCACAGCACTGGCGCCTCTGCGCGTTGCCTCGCGCGCTGCAGTAGCTGGATTAAGTTTACCTCAGCGCGGATCCCGCGCGCCTCCTTTCACTCAAACTGGACACGTGCTGACCTGTGTGGATATTTCCAACAACCCCGTCAGGAATTATGAGTTTTTGATCAAGATAGGAGTTCAAACCCCGCCGCGTTAGCTCTGGTTGCGCAGCTCTACGAGAACCGCAGGAATAACTTGTAGTCGCACTTTCAGAGGTGCATTGAGCGAGCGGTGAGAATGATTTATATTTGTGGACAAATAATTTTGTGCGTCTTTTCCATCTCAACACGTTGCCCGGCGCTGGGACATATTATGTCTGTTGTCCCGGTTGGTTGGAGCGTTAATGGTTAACCAACCAGTGCTCACCTGATCATGCAAGTTCACCCCTGTGAGGAGCTTTCACGCTCTCCTCGTAGTCACGTTTCACGTTGGTTTTACATTGTTTTGTTATTTTTAGTATATTTTTTTCCGGGTTACGCGATGCACCAAACCATATATGCTTTGTCCATGTAGCCAGAATTAATGTGCGAAATTTGAGAAACTCGACCCACAAACTGAACCAGCCAAAATATTTTGTGTGTCCCCTTGTTAAAAACTAAAGATTTAACTTTAGCTGTCACTAGTGGATAGCTAAATAGCTAAAGGCCATTTTCTTGTGCTTCTTGTGGATTTTTATGTTATAAATGCACACAGACCACTGAAGTGGACACTAATGCGTCATAAAATACACTATCAACTACTGGCCATCAGTTGCA